CTCACCGATCAAACATGTTTGATATGTGAGAAAAGGTTGCATGAGGCAAAAAACTCAGTAAAATGTACCCGCACACGGTGAGCTATCGGCTGAGCTAACAGGCACGAGTAACTTTTTGCTCAGCAGATAGCTCTCGTGTGCGGCAGGCTTAAAGGAATGTTGTGACGCAATTGAAGGAAACCTTAATTACAATGCGTAAAACACCCAGTAATCCGGAGTTTATCTATTGGTCGAGTGTCGAGGGTTAAATGTCGAGGGCGAGGGTAAAAAGTCGAGGGCGAGGGTAAAAAGTCGAGGGTGAGCGTTATATAAAAGTCGAGGGTAAAAAGTCGAGGGTTAAAAGTTAAGAGTAAAAAGTCGAGGGTTAAAAGTCGAGGGTTCAAAAGTCACAAAAAATACAATATTAAGGTCAGGTTAGCGACGAGTTCTCGGCAGTATTGTTATACGAGCACTTAGGCTATAAACCAAATAATCAAACCTATAATACGCGTTCCACGCACATATACTACGTGGCGACCGCGTATTCTGCGTTTTAAATGTACTAATATGCCATACCGTGGCTTTGCGTCCTGATCTGCATCATACATGCAGCCGTGAAGTCAGCAATACAATCAGTTTAATATATATTGTTTATTGTCTACAAACAACAGTATATTACATACTAAGCAGGGCTCTTTAAAACACAGCGCCCTGCTTTACGCCTTTAATCGACAATAAATGAACCTATAATGTAGGGGCAATTAATATCGCAAATTGTCATTGAACTTGATGTATATATGCAAGGTTCGTTTGTAGCCGGTATACTGCATGTGCTTAATCGGCTAAATTATTACTCCGCAAATCAGATTAAGGTGTGAAACTCAGGCGTAAAACTCCGAGTACCTATCAGTTAAATTTTAAGGTATACAGAAACTCTTTATAACAATCCCGCGTTGAAAATAATCACGGACCTCCATTTTATTAAACGCTTTCCAAATTTTCCTGAGTGCACACGAAACAATAGCTTAAAATAGAAGTCAAGTTACTTATTGTTATCATTGCCGGTCTCGATTTTGCACCATTGGCATTGTTTGAATTGTTTAATGTGTCCACAAGCAAATTCATGTTTTAAACATGACTAATATAATTGAAACTTGGTCAATTTTATGATTGTTATTTATTTAACTATAACTAACGGGCCACTAACATGAACAGAACATATGTTTAGTCGAGCCAGTGAATTGCGGCATGTCGGATATGTCAGTAACCTGATCTGTCAATAAAGGCGAAAACATCGTCCAACGTGTGTGCGTGGAACGCATATTATAGGTTTGATTGTTTGAATAATGTTTGATTATTTGGTTTAAAAGTGCTCATATAACAATACTGCCGAGAAGACACGTAGACGTCGCTATGGCCTTATCCGAAGCGGTTACCTGACCTTAATATTGTATTTTTTGTGATTTTTAACCCTCGACTTTTTCCCCCTAATTTTAACCCTCGACTTTTTACCCTCGACTTTTTACCCTCGACTTTTAACCCTCGACTTTTTACACTCGACTTTTTACCCTCGACTTTTAACCCTCACCCTCGACTTTTTGCCCTCACCCTCGACTTTTTACCCTCGCCCTCGACATTTAACACTCGACACTCGACCAATAGATAAACTCCGATTTAAAATGTCTTTTGCCAGTTTGTTTACGTTTGCTATTTTTAGCAGTTTTTGTGACATAAAACTGACATTTGAAGTAAGAGTATTTTTCAGGGAGGTCGCGTAATTTTGAAAATGGGTGTAATAGCCGTGGAGCAAGAAGATCCGGTGTCGAACGAATATCCACGGGGATAAATGTTTTAGTTTTATTACATAATTTCGAAACATTAGGCCTACAATATTTTTGAGGCCAGCGCGAATATGAACAAGGTGCGCGAAATTAAATCGCGCATGAGTACGCACAGTACGACGCGATTGTTTTAATGGCACCTTCAAGGCTACCCCTATTGCAGAACAACTGAACAATCTGCTGATGTCGCTGATGAAGAGACAAAATATATGTTGACATTTTTGTCAGCTTTAGATGACCATTCATTTGTAATGACTAAGATTGTAGAAAGAAATTCTGAGCAGGTGAATATATGAATGTAAGCCGGTATATTACATATAGTGCTAACCAATGGACATATCTCAGATACTAAAAGTACATTTTGACTCCTTGTATAAATATAAAGACGATCAGTGGGCTATTATATAGAACTGCAAATTCATGAAATCATATTGGTTTCAATACCTCTATATCGAACACTAAACAGCAAATCTAAATATAAATGCTCATATATATCACCAGAAAGAAATAAAGCTATCCAAATGATTCAAAATATTGTCGATCCCGAGGGGCAATTCACTCCAAAAATCCCGTACACTTCGTCAAAAAATCCGGAAAAAATCCAGAAAAAATCCATGAAATCCTCAAAATCCGTTGAATCCATCAAAATCCAAAAAATCCTTTAAAAACCACAGAAATCCTTCAAAAATCCGCAGAAATCCTTCAAAATCCTTAAAAAATCCGCAAATCCACAAAAAATATATGAAGTACTTGGTGTAATTTACTCGTAAAGGTTCTTTGCCACATTCAAAATGGCGGACAGCGAAAGCTAAACGCTTACCGTGATCGCTCGGCTGTCATTATATTTCGTAATTATTGGACCACTCTACATTTCCATTTATACGCTCGAGTATACGCTAAGTTTTTTTAGCCTATTACTACTAAATATGTGTTCTTGTTACAATGACGTTATGTTGTAAAATATAATTACAAAACCAAAAGTTATTCACCATTGTCTTTTACTGTTTTTGAAAGAATAATGAACTTGTTTGAATTTTATACAAATTGACTGCATGCCCAGCCTTCGTTAGTTTCAGAAGGCTGTGGTCCTAGTCCCAGTCCTCTGCTCGACCCTGACGTCCTGGCATAACGTTGACATCGTACAACTTAAGATTATTTGTTCAAAACGTTACCTAGCTCTATAACTCTATAATTAAAAAAAATCCAGAAAAAATCCGGAAAATCCAAATAAATCCGGAAAATCCAACAGATTTTCAAAAATCCAGAAAAAATCCGAACAAATCCGGAAAATCCAGCAAATTTTCTCTTCAAAAATCCGCTAAAAAATCCGGGAAAAATCCGCTAAAAAATCCGCGGATTTTTAAAAATCCGAAAATCCCGTACGCTTTTTTGGAGTGAAATGCCCCTCGGTCGATCCTTTGCATCGTATTAAACCGTATTAAATCCTGAGAAAAATCATGCGAGCGCAATACAAAATAAATAAAATCGAATCAAAATCGAATAAAAACAAAGAGTCGTCGAATGCTCGAGCTGACGACAATTTCCGAAAAATCTTGACATCCGACGGACTGACATGAATTCAGTATGTTTCCCCAATATAACTCGGCCGGGGACTGGGCACGAAAAAGCAAGAACGTCACGTAACGTCGAGAATAGGGAGCTGCCTCGCTACGCTCGGCAGCAACTAAATCATGGAACCGAGGGAATCGATGGCATTTTGGCTTGATCGTTGCACCCTGAGCCTGCGATGAGCTAACGCAAACTCGATTTCTCGACTACGAAAAAAACAGAAAAAGAGGGATTTAAGACACTTGGCCTACAGGCCAGTGTAATAAAATCAAAAGCGGTGTTTCCACTATAAAAACTGTATTTTCCATTTTTCATTCGTATTCATTGGAAATGAATTAGAAATGTATTGCCTGTTGCGGAATGCGAAAACATCGAAATTATTTTGTTGTTTTTTTATCCAAAAGTTAAATTATAAAATATCTTCAACATTTCTACAAATTCAGTTATTCTTTTATCTTTGAGGCAGTGACAAAGCCATTTAAAAGTTGTAGTAGATTAACTTTGAATACATTCGAAGAAAAGATTTGTCATGCATGATGTTGTGTTTTGTTATACTACATTTTGGGCGATATTTTTCCATCGTTCTTGCATTATGAACTGATATTTTTCAATCTTTCTCTTGCATTATAAAATTGACAACAAATTGCAAATCCTTACGCACTCTTTGGGTGCCTATTTTTTTTGCCGCCATGATGATGCGCCAAATTGCACCAAGTGATTGAATAAAGTCTAATTTATTAAACTCAAGTGTTGAATTTTTAACCTAGAAACCATTAATATTACCTAACCTTTTTTTTAATCAAGATGGAAAACAGCCAGTTTCGTAGCTTTTGCACTTTAGATTTTTGTTTACGTCATATATTTCATTTCATATATTCCATTTTTAAAGGTAATGGTATACATGATTTCTTTGATGACCTCCCTTATGGTGCTAAAAAACTTTTTATCACAATATTTGTAGCTATATGTAATTTCCAGTTGGGATGTAACATATAAATAATGAACGATAATGTCAATGACCACTCTCCTCCGCAGAGCCTTACGAATTTTTAGTAAAATTACGTAATATTACTTGGGAAACAAATTACGCAATATTTAGTCAAAACGCGCTAGGTATGATGGGAAGACGTCAACCATCGGTCTCACCCCCCGTCGCGGACCACTAAATGTCCTCTACTATCCCTACATTATCCCTACAATCCTATATAATTGACTCTGTGGAGGAGAGTGGTCGATGCTGTAGTCCATTTACGTTTTCCGAATCCGCAATTTTTTGTCAAAAGGAATAACTTTAATGAACTATATATATTGGAAAAGCTAACATTCATTAACTAAATAATCTACAACAGTAAACGGCGTACGTTCATTAACTAAAATCTAAATAATCTACAACAGTACTAGTATATTTGTTGTATCACCGATTAGACATTACAACAGACATTCCAACTCTCCCGACCCCGAAAATTCATACAATCTCCTGGTCTCCCGATTTTTATTAAATTATCCCGATTTTTCAGAATATTCAGGAAATATCGTAAAAAAAACATAAACATACTGTTTTTAGCACCATAATAGTCTGTCTTGACCTTTTTATGAAGTTACTTTATGGCAATTTATAGGATCACTTATAACAACATATTCCCAAAATGCAGGAAACGCCATTTCAGAAGACTTAATTTTTAAATTTTTTCCGCAGAAGAACAAGATTTCAATTCACTGAACAGTCTGCCTAAATTTTACCTCTAGTAGTTGGAATGTCTGTTACAATTAACAATTAATATATCTCCAACGCAAATTTGTCGTTGTGGAATCAGTGGTATAATTTGGCTAAACGACTGCAAAGTATTCGCAAGCCGGAGGACATTTTACCAAAAGGCATTGCGTATATTATGTAGCTATACTAATGATATAATGTTATACGATTAGTCCAAGTTTGAGTTCAGATATAGTTGCCAATACTTCGCCTGCGAGCAGGCTCTATGGTTATAGTGATTGGTTGAAAATTTTAATCAATAAACAAAATATAATTTTTCAAACTATAATATTACAGTGTTTGCTCCGACGATGACCCAGGTTTAGGGATCGAAAGCTTTGCAATTAATAAAGATACGCGACATTTTCCACAAACCAAAACAATACGCCATTAAAAAATTACAATAGCCTTAGAACGATGCTTGGTAGTAAGTTGTAATGTTTCCTTGAAGGGACCTAACGTTCAAACGGACCTAACAATGTTGGGCCAACACCGTCCAATAATTTTCAAATAATATTTTATACTGTTTCTTTCACAAAGTATTTTAAAGCACAAATTTTCAATTTGGATAAATCTTATTGGTATATAGCTAGGGTGAAATCATAGAAATAATAGATATGGCATGCGTACTCCTATCTTTTCTCAGTTCAAAATTTGTCTCCACGAAATGGTGGATTTATAAGGTCATTTTGTTTGGTCCCAGACTCCGGAGGCAAGGAATTTCGCGCGGTTGCAGGGAGTGCGAATTTGTTTTTTTTTTCGGCCCAACTGCAAAGTTTGCAATAAAATTTTATCAAGACTTAAAATGGTAAAAGGTTTTGAAAAAGCCATTCCAGTGGGTTTTTTACGAAAAGCAATAGTTCTGAAAAGAATATGCAGCTTTTTCAATTAAGGT